GACACTTTTTAGCGCGGACCCGACGTCCATATAATTGTAAGTCAATGTACATAGGAATGTTCTTCGCCTATTTAACCTCAAGCAGTTTTGTTAAGAAGAGTGAAGCACTTTATTACACGTGATTGTAGTACATATTTTTGCTTTACCTCTTGCCAGTTTGTGAGCTTATTGTTGGCCAAGTCCAGCTCTACGACGTCAGCACACTTATCAGCGAGAGTGCAGGCGTCGCCGGCACAGTCGATGTCACAGTCATTAAGGACTAACAGCGTAGGAACACTCAAGCGTGGAGATCTTTTTGGCACGAAAATTGCCACAGGCAGATCGTCTATTTCAGGGTTGACCTCGCCTTTGGCGCCATACTTGCGCTCTAAGGCTTCCAGAAGCGATGGCATTGTACCTGAAATAATACAGATAATTGTACACTGACCCGATGAGTTCTACTAATCCTAATTATATGTCTAGCGAATGTACTCGATGATGTATAGCGACTTACAATTGAGAACTAATAAAATTAACCATGTAACGTAGTAACCACTCTTTGCCCTACGCGTTTTAAGTAGAGATCAGAATAGGTACAGTATATTTATATAAACTTCATTGAAGTAATACACATAAGAGTTGATAATATATCCCTCTGAAGTTCCGAAATACTTGTATTGCAACTTCAACTTTTGTATCTATGGCTCCGTCAGGGTTGAAAGACTGATTTATTAAGGACTCAGTGCGGTGGTGAGATATCTTGCCGGTTATTAAAATACTTAAGCGGTTATAATGCACATTGACGGTTATAACTTTTTTATTTATTTTTTAATGACATTACAAAATTATAATACGAGGGCTCATGTTCTTTTCTTTCTTTTGGAAACATTTTTGCATTTTGTTCTATATTTTTGACGTGTAACTGGCGTAGCAATATGACTTGTTTTGTTATAATTTTTTGGCTTTTATTTTAATTATTGCGGTGCTTTAGAGGGAGGTATTATTCACTCTTTTACTGTGCCTTGTACTTTTACTTTTACTCTTTAACTGAGGGGCACTGCCACTGTGCCCGTCACCCAGAGACATAACTTGACAAGTCCCATGTGCCTGCAATTTCACCTGCACCCCTTCTCTTCAAACACGGAACGCAGTAATGGGCATTACGTGGGCACGTTACCGCTTGGTGGCAGAAACGGCTCTTCGCAAGGATCTGTACAGCTATACTAAAACTCTATGTGCATTACTTGATCTTTAAGTTGATAAATAACCTGCCTATTGCATATAAAAGAGGCAAGATAACATAGATTGATCGAAGACGATCTTTTAGAGCGGACGTCCGGTATACAAACTTCTTTTTACAACATTAAATAATCTGAAGTGTAAAACTTTAATTGTTCATCTTGTGATGCCATCCATCAGTGGAAATCCACCACGACTAGCATCAGTGAGCTGTGTTCGAGAATTGCACTACATCAGATAATAAAACGGCCAGTTTGTGTTGTAAATTGATTAATCAATAGTAACGATTTCCTTCTCAGCTGATCGCACGCGTGATCGAGCGGCGCGGGTGCATTGAATAGAAACAGACCATTCAGTTGCTTACTGACGGATTGCAAGCATTTTGTTGTAGTTATTCGTGGATTTAATGGGTCACATAAAACTATATTTTTTTAGGTCAAAATAATACTGACTTGAAAACGAAGCCCCGTGTCATTCGGATAGGGCACGTTTCCATTATGTCGTAACGTTTTATTTATCGTTGGACAACTGTCGTGTCTAGCCTGTTCCATTATCACGACTATCTGTAGTGACTGTGTCATTGAACACTTTATCGTGTCACGGCAGCCGCCTTGTCGTTTGCAGATATGAGACAACGATAAATAAAATGTAACGACAATAGAAGCTGCGATTATCTGTCGTCACATTTTTATCGTGACGTTTTATTTATCTTATTATTATTATTACTGTCGTTCTAGCTCTTCCCATTGTCTTGATAATCTGTCGTCGTAACGTCAAAAAAATCGTGAACGACAGTTAAACGTAATGTGAACAACTTCATTTATACATACAAGCCGTGACACTTTAAACTACACGACTATCTGTCGTCACGACATAATGAGAACGCGCCCATATAGGGATAAATAAATTTCGAAGACGCGTCTCATACTCATTGAAAACAAACCTTTACCCCTCTCTATCGACTGAGGCATTTAATTTTTAAATTCTCAATGTTGCAACTGGTTTCACATAAATCTGGTAAAAATGGTACATAGAGACTTCGGAAATGTCGATCTGCCAAGCGGTCAAAGTAGTACGTTCATTGATGGAATAGGGAATCGGACAACTTTAAAATTAGCCCTAATGGATATACGGGCAAGAATAATATTACTTTGTCCTTCTTAGACCTAGTAAACTACCTACTATAGGGAGAAGCGCTAAACGCCCAATATATAGACGACAGCACGTCGAGCTCCACATTTACGGATCTAATCACTGTTGTGGAAATTTTACTCTCAAAACATTTGAAAAATATAATTTCGACGGCTCATATCATGTTCTAGGTTTAGAAATATCTTTTGAAGTATTATTTAGCGTGAATTATAAACACGATCACACAATCACGAAACGTTTACAACTCGTAAAACAACTCATTTGGAGGTTTGAGTAGTTCTACGTGTGTCGCTTTCCTTGATTTTTAGGTATTTTATGAGTTAGGCGAGTATAGGTAATAACTATACTTAGTGCACGTAAATTGGCGAATTAACTTCGCAAAAGTCTGGCAACAATGATGACTGATCAGAAGCGCATTTATCCGAAAACTGTTGACGGTGGTGTGCGATTATATCGCATGCGATTACATCGTATTGCTAAATTTGAATGCGATATTTCAATTATAACGTACACCGTACGTTATAATTATAGTTTACGTGCTCACAGGAATAATTATTGTCTGGGTCTGCATTACTTCACATATTATGTATATTTTGATGTATTCGGGGCCTTAAGAGGTTGTATAAATAAAGCTTTTCAAATACCCTAAAACTATGTTTAAATGTAATAAAAATAATAGCCGCGCATACGGCACTACACTGTCATGTCAACTCGGAACGTGTGACGTCATTGGTAGGCAAAAACTCTAGACAATGTGCACTTGTCACTTGCGAGAATTTTATAATTCATTAACTACTGTCCTCAATCTAAAATATTACAGTTTTTAGTTAAAAAGTGATTAAACGGAAAAAAGCATAAAATAATACTCGAATACGGTTACGTTTCTTTGTTTACTTACGTTCACTGCCTGCGTGGCCGAACGGTTACCCTGCTGGTCTGCCATGCTAAGGTCCCGGGTTCGATTTTCGGACCAGGAAAAATATTTGTAGAGCCTATGCGTGTGTCCATGGCACCCGCTGTTTGGTGTTTCCATGACAGATGAAAAATATTACAATTTTCATATTTTATTATTGATTTAAAATAAAAATTGTTTCACAAAATTTTCATAGAGTTCGGTAATTGTCAACCGACTTCAAAAAAGTAGTAGTAGTTTTTTGTGTGTCTGTTACGCGATTAGTCAGACATTTGTGAATCGATTTCGATTATTCTTTTTTTGTTGGAAAGGGTGGTCCTATATGAATTTGAAGACAATATTACTCCTCTAAGGATGGCATATTAGGGGTTGAACCCTGTTTATTGAGATTGTTTTTTTTATAATAAAAGTTACGTTACTTTGTAATTGTTGTCCGACTGCCTATTGCAGTAGATACAATTCCTAAATTGGTGTTTGTAAGAAAGATGTCAAGTCGGTTACGGTTTACGACAATAGTAATGAAATATAAAAAACTATAACGTGTGTTATTTATAAATGCAACCTGTGACTATTTTGTGTCCCAATTTTGTATAAAGTGTGTTATTTTTATCATCCTCTTTTCTGGTTCCTGGCCATTTATTTTTTGAATTTTGAATCGTTCTCGAATTCTCTCTTCCTCTCACCATTTTTACGTTTGCTTTAACCATTCGTTACAACCATCACAATTCTTGAAACTAGAAGACGGTCCATTTTCTCTGGTTAAATACTGTTTAAATATTTAAAAAATTTCTATGTGCGTTATATAACGAAGAAACAAAAAAATGTGATTATAATTGTACGTGCATACATTTTTGCAAAGAAGTTCAGAATGTAGATGCTACCGGGCACCACTATGCATGTGATACAGTTTTTGACACGTCCAGAGAAGACAAGTCACTCAAAAAATTTTTCAGAAAAATAAATACTTTTCCGGATATTTTTCCAATATTTTTCATTTAACTTTCCACCTGTCATAAGTTGAAGTTACCGAACGAAAACGATAGAGCCATTAAAAAGGTTTTTTTTCGCTGTCCTGAAATCATTTGTCTCATTATTCTTTATGTGAATTTTAGAACAACAAGGTTTTTTTTTATAATTCACGCTAAACAAAACTTGCTTCTAAACGTGGAACATAATATGGGCCTTCCAAATTATATTTTTCGAATTTTCCGGGATCTTTTTAAACAAATAAAAAAAAATTACCCAACAATAATGTTGACACGAACGAATATCACATAGTAGAAATTTCTTAATAAGTACGTGGCTTCCGTATCTAAAGTCGTGGTTACATTGAGTAACTGCTAGAGTAACTTCCTTTGGTATTTCGTATTTCAAACCTATATTTTGTCATGACAATTTACTTTCCACGTTACCAAATAATGTGTTTATAATTATGAAAAATAGCGTAATAGGTTCCTCTAACAACATGATTTTACATCGAAGCAAACGAATAACAGAAATGTCATACATAATTTTTTTATGAAAAAAAAACCTATTCCTAAAGTTCCTGGAATTACATCTATTTGCCAAGTTTTATTGAAATCGATTACCGGAAAGCCCGTATAACCGGATTCATCCCCTAGTTTGCCACCACTAAAGCTGGAATATTTTGTTCAAATTTAAATGGGACCAATACTGAAGTGACCTCTTTCCAACAAAAAAGAATCATCAAAATCAGTTCAGAAGTTATCGAGTAACATACATACCAAAAAAAGTACAGTTGAATCGAGAACCTCTTCCTTTTCTAAGTCGGTTAAAAAGTTAATAGATAGCATGTTGTTTTTTTCATTGTTTAATTGTTTTAGAGATTTATTTTGTTTATAAAGAAGCGCCCTCTGTCCTTCTTTGGTACATCGTTACTTAGAGTATCATTAAGGACCTAAATGTAATTTTAGATCTTTGTAAATTGTATATAGCAATAAATTGTATTAAATTGAATACACCGAATAGAAAGGGTCTCAAACAAGGCAAGTGTTTGATGAATTTTTAATTGAATCAATTACAACGTGATTAAATTCATTACATAAAATTGTTGTTGCCATCATTGTCCTGGATACACTCAGATGGAAACACCT